CTCTTAACTGGTGAGGTTAGAGCTCTTGACGTGATGGTTCTTTCAGTAACTTCCAGGTTCTTGAACGGTTTTCTCTGCTTTCTGTTTCTTTCTGTGCTTAACTTCCAACTGCTTTTAACTCTGTTCTCTTGATCATTATCAGCCTGTCTACTGATTGTATCAATGAATTGTCGTTTGTTCTGTTGAAATTCCTTGTATTCATTTTCTTCTTTTTCTCCAAATTTCTTATTTGTCTCTTTTACACGTTTCATGGGTGCTCGATTACAACGTTTGTGGCCATCCTTGTATCTAAAAATGTTATTGCACAGAGTGCACTGGAAGGCAAATCCGGAGTGGAACACATCCAGATGACTCGATACGCCCTTGATGGAACTGTATTCCTTCTTGTTGTGGCACAACTTGCACACAAAGTAGGTATTCTGTAAAATATAGATATGATTTTTTTTTAATTATTTATTGTGTTATGAGTAATTTTTCATTTATTTTGACATTATTTTTAGGTCAGTGCTTGCTAGTAGACAGTTTAACGATTGGTCCAGGTCTCTACACCTAGGTAAGGCTTCAAGTTGTCAGAATAACTTCACATCTTCAGTGCCCACTTCATTTCCCCCAATAAACCTCGAAACCCACCACTTCTCAGGTTCTCTTAATTTTGTTGGCCAGGTGAAAAGTGGTTATAAGCCTACCTTATCGCTCATCTTTAAACTGTAAATGTTAGATTAAATAACTCTTAACTGTAAGTATAAAAAATATAACAGTAAACTTTAAGAAAAACTTTACACTTGTAATTTATGGCAGGTATTATTTGAAACAACATTCTAAGTATTTGCTTCACCAACTAATAGAGCTCATGTTTCTTTTCAGAATTGAAACTATGGTTATAACCTTCTCAGGGTTCGCCCTTAGTCAGGGTCCGTTCGTCTCTATATTAAATGACATGTAAGTAATAAATGTGAAAGTGATGACACTTAATCCGATTAACATGTGTTTATATGATAAATTATTTACGGTCGATCATTTATACAAATTTCCGATTAACTCTAATATTTATTGGTGAGAACTAATTTCTAATTTAGACACCAAACCTGTTTAAAATGTGTTTATTACGTGATTTAATCGATTTTGAACAATGACTATATTATAAAAACTCCGACACACTTTCTCATTTTACTTTTAACTCAAATAAATAATTGAAAATGAAATTTTAGCTTGTCCATTGATTTTGATAATGAGTTGATAATATCATTTTGACATATATAAGCTTGCATACATGTCTGAC